TAGAGCCAGTGGTTGCCCCGGGAGGCTGGGGACAGCATCAACACATTGGTTACCAGTGCAGGTCCTGGAGTTACACAGACCCTGCTTGTAGCCCCAGCTCCAGCACTCCCTAGGTGTGTGACCTTGGGCAAGTGACCTTATACTCTCTGCCTCAGTTTCCCCTTCCCCAAATCCAACCAACTAACAGCAAAGTTATTGTGCAAATTCAATAATGCCTGTGAAGTGCTTGGCACCTAATGCTTTCTTAAGAAGTGCTCAGGTTGCTTGTTACTATGAGGGAGAACCATTTGAGAATTCCACATAGGGCCGTGGGACTCAGTACTCTCCCAGGAGGACTCCTTGGAGGAGGTGGCCTTAATCCTGAGCCTTAAAGGTCAGTAGGATGTGGGCGGGCAGAGTGGTGCTAAACTTCGTGAGGGCTAACCAGGTAGAGGTTGCAACGGGGAGCAAAGGGAGTCCCATCAGGGAAGAACAAGGGTCCTCTTAGGCATTTGCTCCTGACTTAGTGTTAAATGGAATATGATGCTCAGCTGAGGCAGGAGGATCACTTGAGCCCAGGAATTCAAGATCAGCCTGAGTTCAGGCATAGTGGCTCATGCCTATAATCCCAACACTTTGGAAGGCTGAGGTGTTTGGATCACCTGAGGTCAGGAGTTCGAGGCCAGCTTGGCCAACATGATGAAACCCCATCTCTACTAAAAACACAAAAATTAGCCAGGCATGGTGGTGGGTGCCTGTTGTCCCTGCTAATTGGGCGGCTGAGGCAGGAGAATTGTTTGAACCCAGGAGGCAAAGATTGCAGTAAGCCGAGATCGTGCCACTGCACTCCAGCCTGGACAACAGAGCAAGACTCCATCTCAAAAAAAAGAAAAAAGAAAAAAAAAAGCCCAGCCTGGGCAACATAGTGACACCTAGTCTTAAAAAAATTAAAAATAATTATAATAAATAATACACTAAATGATGCCAATTCAAACACTCTGCACCTTATTAGAAGACCCCACTTGGTTTGGGATCCCTGAGACTTTTCAGTGCCTTACAGCTGCAGAGGTGACGCCTGGCTCTCTGCCGGCAGATGCACTGCCTTCTCCGTCTCACATCCGTCTCCTTCTCTCCCTCCCTGCCCCCACCTCTCTCCTGTTCCCCCACCCCTTCCTCTCCTGTGTTCCCACTTCTCTCAGTGTTGCCAAGGCCCTGGGTGTGAAGACTGTGGGGGCTCAGGCCCTGAAGCTGTTTCAGGAACACCCCATTTTCTCGGAAGTTATCTCAGACCAGGAGGCTGTCGCCGCCATTGAGAAGTTCGTGGGTATGTGCCAAGTCCTCTGAGGACCTGACCTGCTGACTCAGGAGCTAAGTGGCTGTCCACTTGGTGTGCCATTGGGGATCCCACTCACCCCAAATTTTCTTCACAGTTCTGTCTTCCATCTCTGCCTAGAACTTTCCGTTAATGGAATATAATACAATGCAGCATAGAAATAGAAAAGCAAAAGCCATACATCTTAGAAAAGTAACCCTGATAACCATAGCAGCAGCAAACAATAAGTGAATATTTAAAATGTTGCTTCTGAGTTTCCTGGTAGCCAAGGTAAAAACAGAAAACATGGGGCTCAGAGTTGGATTCATTCACAGGTGGGTCTGTAACTAGGTTGGGCTCTTTCTGGGTTCAGTCTAGGATAGGGATGGCAAAAAAAAAAAAAAAAGAAAGAAAGAAAGAAAAGAAAAGGAGAAAAAACATAGTAGCATTTGTGCTTCTGTACCTACTGCACACTTGGCTAATCAACCATGGAACTCTTGCTCAAATTATGCCTCAGAATCCTTCTCAACACAGTGCTCACACAACTGCACTCATTCCATCAGCATTAGCACTCATGATGAAACCTAGGCCCTGGCTCAGGGTTAGAAGGGCCAACCCAGGGTGATGACGAGATGTTTGGTCCAGGACCTGCGTCTGCAGTCAGGGCTGAGAGCTGATTGGCTCAGTATTCCCAAGCCTTGCCAATGGCCTATCAGCTCCCCGTGCACCCTGGGAAACTCAGGCCACACCCCTACTACCCCCTTTCTCTGGCAGATGATGAGAAGATCCTGGTGGAGCCCGCCTGTGGGGCAGCCCTGGCAGCCGTCTACAGCCACGTGGTCCAGAAGCTCCAATGGGAGGGGAAGCTCCCAGCCCCACTGCCATCCCTCGTGGTCATCGTCTGTGGAGGCAGCAACATCAGCCTGGCCCAGCTGCGGACGCTCAAGGAACAGCTGGGCATGACAAATGGGTTGCTCAAGTGAGGACGGATCACTTACCCGTCTGTCCTCTCCTAGCTCAGGAGACCCCTGGAGGGGCTAGTTTTATCCAGCGCCTCATTGTACGTTTGGTTGAGTGCCTGTGGCCGGGTGCAGGTCAACTTCTTGTTATCAGAAGCCCACTCTGCAGACACCAAAGGTCAGCAGGCAGTGAGGCTGTGAATTGGGCCTTTTTGGTATCTGTGTGACTGCTCTGTGCCCATCCTTAGCCACCCTGCTGGCGTGGCAAATGCCCACAAGTAACACACCAGGTCCCCAGAGTGGGGAGGATGGGGAAGACCTCAATCACAGCAGTGGGGGATTCCTCGAAGCTGTGACACGGCCCCAGAACTTGTTTCCAGGAAAGGTGAACAGAGCCACAGTGGTCCAGGGTTGAGGAATCATCTCAGCCATCCCCCCAGGAAGCCCACTCCTGACCCTTCCCAATTTTTCTAATGTGCAAACTTTTTCATTGGAAAAAGAAAAATACATATTTATGAAACAAAGATCCTGTACATTTTCTCATCATCAGTTGTCTTCCTTCCTCCTTTCATTCCACCCCAAGTCTGCTCTCAGGCCCAGCTCTCAACTGGGACCCCAGAGTGAGGCCAGAGCCTGACTCCAGCTGGTCTTATGTGCCAGGACAGGGGCATCCCTGTACCACAGGGAGCAGGTGGCTCAACAAGAAGGACTTGGGGTGGGACAAAGGCTGCCTCTGCTGAAGGGAGAAGCAGCTGGGGGAGGCCAACCTCATTCTGATATGAAGTCCTTCCTGATAAGTCAGAATTATTTCACCACAGCCCCACTGGAAGCAAAGAAGTGAAGGCCCCTCTCCTGAGGGTGTGTGAGCTGACAATGGACATCCATCTCTGGGAGAGGGAAGAGGTGGGTGGACTTGAAGTCAATGTCATGCAAACCCTTCTCAAACATGGAACCCTCTCTTCCAACGAAAGCATACGCTGAAGCCCGTATCATAGATCAGAGAGGAATTACTGGGGCTAGCTCCAGAGCATGAAGGGAACCTCACCCTCAGGGCACTTTTTGGATGACCCTACGTTCAAACTGAAGTTTAAGAATCACTTGGGGCTGGGTACAGTGGCTCATGCCTGAAATTCCAGCACTTTGGGAGGCCAAAGAGAGCAGACCACTTGAGGTCAGGAGTTCAAGACTGGCCTGGCCAACATGGTAAAATCCCATCTCTACTGAAAATACAAAAATTAGCCAGGTATGGTGGTGTGCACCTATAACCCCAGCTACTCGGGAGGCTGAGACAGGAGAATCTTTTGAACCCAGGAGGTGGAGCTGCAGTGAGCTGAGATTGCCCCACTGCAGTCCAGTCTGGGCAAGAAAAAAAAAAAAGTGAGATTCTGTCTAAAATTAAAACAAAAAAATGACTCAGATCTGAGTGAAAAGCCTGCCTGGAATAGGACTGCCTCTAGCTTCTGCTGTCCAGCCTGAGCCTGGCATGAAGCCCCCAAAAGGGGTGAGGCAGACACCTCTGCCTGCTAGAGGAGGCACCACGGCACTGTGGGCAGGGGCCGACCAGCTTGCTAGAGCATTGGGCTTCGGGGAGCCAGGAGCCATAGAGGTGCCTACAGCTGCCATCCTGAAGCCTTTGCGGCTGCCTCTGGAAAGGTGGGTCCCGCTGAAGGGATCACCTGAAGTCCCAGTGGTGGACCATCTGCATGACCACCCGCTATGCTCTGTGCGGAGTCAGCCTGGCTTCATGACCACCCCCATCCCCTGGAAAGCAGAAAGGGGCCAGAATCATTCTAGGGAATACAAAGTGACCTTGGGTGAGCTCCACCACCACCCAGGCCTCCACTTGCTCATCTGTAAAATGGGTCTCCCAAAGGCCCCAGCCTCAGGAGCGGCTGTGAAGAGTCAGTGGCTGCATCACAGTAGGTGTGGCCCGTTTCACCAGGGCCTGCACCATCGCAAGGAGATGGGGAAGGTGGGCTGGGCCCCAATCCTGACTCTGATGGGCCCAAGTCTTCAGACTTTGGGCACATGACCTCCCTGCACCAAGCCTGCTTCCTCATCTGTAAAACACCCGTGATAATCCCAGCCTCTCCCAACAGGGCTGTCCTGAGAAGGAAAGTTTTCATACTCAGGGTATGAAAACACTCTCAAAAATTGGGATTTTTTTTTTTTTTTTTTTTTGAGATGGAGTCTCTCTATGTAGCCCAGGCTGGAGGGCAGTGGCACAATCTCGGCTCACCGCAACCTCTGCCTCCTGGGTCCTAGTTCAAGCAATTCTCCTGCCTCAGCCTCCTGAGTAGCTGGGATTACAGGCATGCACCACCATACTCAGCTAATTTTTGTATTTTTAGTAGAGATGAGGTTTCACCATGTTGGCCAGGCTGGTCTCGAACTCCTGACCTCATGATCCACCTGTCTCGGCCTCTCAAAGCACTGGGATTACAGATTTGAGCCACTGCACCTGGCTGAAAGTTAGTTTTTAAAACCACAAGTAGGTTGGGCACAGTGGCTCATGACTGTAATCCCAGCACTTTCGGAGGCCGAGGTAGGAGGATCACTTGAGCCCAGGAGTTCAAGACCAGCCTGAGGCACAGTGAGACGCCGTCTCTACAAAGAGGAAAAATCAGATAAAACCACAAGTCAATTCCCAGGTAACGGGTTGTGAAGCCACAGGGAGGAGAAAAAGCAAACCAACCCCAGACCCCAAATTGCTTTATTCTCTCCGCGCATTTACCAGCACGGACACAACACAGATTTCATTTACTGTATTTACCATCTCCCCAGTGTAAACTTCACAAGAGCAGAGACGCTTCTGTCCCTTTTGTTATAAGGTATCCCCGGGACCTCATAACAGTGCCTGGCATGTACTAGGGATTCGATAAGTGTTTGCTAATGAAGAGGTGCTGAGTGCATGAGGCCCCACATGGGCTGCATCACATCCTCCAGGGAAATGCTGCTCACACCATTACCCCATTTCACAGATGAGATCATCAAGGCTCAGAGACAGTGAGTCCATAGCTAGCTATCAAGAAGTGGAAACAGAATTCAAAGCCAGGTCTGACTCCAGGGCTGTGTACTTTCCTCTCTCCAAGCACATAACACTGCGAAAATCTTGTCTCCAAGGCAGGCTGCATGAGATCAGGCAGGGAGCAAGCCTTTTTTGTACTGGTCTGTACAACACAGTATGGCTTAGGAAGGTCCTGGTGCTCAACACAGTTCCCAGACAGGACCAGAACATTGGTGCTCAATAAACATCTGGATGGATGGCTGGATATGAATGGATGGATGGCTGGATAGAAAATAGATAAATATGGATGAATGGGGGATGGATATGAAATACACAGATACGTGTGTGGATGGATGGGTAGATGGGTGATAAATGAAGATAGGTGAATGGATGGGTGGGTGGGCAGATAAATGGGTGGATGGATGGATGAGTGGGTGGATGGATGGGTAGATGGGTGATAAATTGATAGGTAGGTGGATGGATGAGTGAATGAGGTAGATGGATAGAAAATGAACAGATGGAATGTTGGATAGATGAATGAATGGTTGGATAGATGGTTGGATGGGTGACTGGATGGATGGGTGGGTAGATGGGTGACAAATGGGTAGGTGGATGGGTGGGTAGGTGAGTGGGTAGAAGAATAGGTGGGTGGGTGGATGGATGAATAGGCAGTTGGATGGGAGGGTGGATGAATGGGTGGGTGGATGGGCAATAAATGGACAGGTAAGAACTTCCTAAGCCATACTGCGGTGTACAGACCAACACAAAAAAGGCTCCTTCCCTGTCTGATCTCATAGGTGGATGGATGAGTGAATCGCTGGATGGATGAATAAATGGGTAGGCAGATAAGTGGATAGAAAATGGACAGATGAGACCAGACATGGTGACTCACACCTGTAATCCCAGCACTTTGGGAGGCCAAGACAGCAGATCACCTGAGATCAGGAGTTCGATTCCACTCTGACCAACATGGTGAAACCCTGTCTCTACTAAAAACACAAAATTAGCCGGGCATGGCAGTGCATGCCTGTAAACCAGCTACTCAGGAGGCTGAGGCAAGGGAATTGCCCTAACCCAGGAGGCAGAGGTTTCTATGAGCCACGCTCACACCACTGCACCGCAGCCTGGGCAACAAGAGCAAAACTCCCTCTCAAAAAAAGAAAAGAAAAAGAAAATGGACAGATGGAGATGGCTAAATGGTTGGCTGGATGGGTGGATGGTTGGCTGGATGGGTGGGTGGAAGGATGATGAATGAATAGGTAGTTGGATGGATGGATGGAAGATGGAGAGGCAGGTGGGAGGCTGTGCAGATGGATAATGGGTGAGTATGTTGGCAGATGAGTGAAGGGACAGAAAGACAGAGGGCTGCACAGGAGGCTACATAGGGGATGGCACAGAACCCAAACCTGAGAGGCGAAAAGCACTGACCCCGCCTTCCATGCCACCCCAAGCACAGCACAGTCCACAGCCACTCTTGTTTAACGGTGGCACAGACTGTGGTCTGGTTCTTCCATCAGAGCGCTATGGACACAGCCCCGAGTTGAGGGGCAGGCCTGGAGTGGGGTGGGGGCCTGAGGCAGAAGGGTGGGGGCTGACCCTCTGCCTGCGCTGGAGATAGCAGAACATTCAGGACCCTCCAGCCACAGATGGCCAGAAACTTTGGTTTGTGTTTGTTTTCAAGTTTCTGTCCTCAAGGAAGCTTCCCAGAAAGGGAGACGAGGGGACTGCTTCCTGAGGGAGCAGAGGGGCCAGAGCTGGGAGGAACGGAGATGGAGCTGGGAGGAATGGGGCCAGAGCTGGGAGGAACAGTGCCAGCCGGAGATAACGCCCAGGTCCTGGGGCTGAAACTCACCAATTCCAGGGCCACCCGTGGGAATGCAGCTGGGAGAAAGGGGCTGGAACAGTCTCTTCCCACCCCATGGGAGCCCCAGAGCCTGACCCTAGGACCTTCCCAAGCCCTCAGGAAGAAGCAGCAGGAGGAAGGAGCCCCAGAGGTGGGAATGAGATTAAGAGAGCAGCAGCAGGAGACAGAGAGAAACAGAGAGCACGAGATGGCAGGGAGCAGGCAGAGGAGACTGCCCCACTAACCTCAGGAAAGAGAGGGGTCACTTCTGAGCCCTATCAGGTTCGTGCTCCACCCTAGGAAGAGATAACTCAGACCCCAGATCAGGGAATAAAGCCCCCAGAAGGTGCTGGGTTTGGAGGTCCGGTGGCCTTGGGCTGGGGATGGCCCTGCTGAAGGTCAGCAGGGGCAAAAGCAGCAGAGCAGGGACAGAGCCTCAGTCCCATGAGACCTTAACGGGCGCAAACTTCCAGAGGTCCGGCTGGCCCATGTGTAGCAGGGTGCTGAAGGGTGAGGTGCTCCACTGGAACGGGGGCACCTGGTCCCACGTGGGACCGCTGGCTGCCAGCAGGCTCAGGATCTTGGCCAGTGACATGCTGGTCACCTGGGGGCAGGGCAGAGCCGAAGGTGAGCAGGGGCCCTAGCCTGCCCCAATCCAGGGGCCCGGCCTCCCACCCTGACCTTGACCGCAGAGCTCAATTCTGAACTGTCACTTTTTTTTTTGAAACTCTGCTCTGTCACCCAGGCTGAAGTGCAGTGGCATGATCTCGGTTCACTGCAACCTCTGCCTCTCCAGTTCAAGAAATTCTCATGCCTTAGCCTCCTGAGTACAGGTGCCCACCACCATGCCTGGCTCATTTTTGTATTATTAGTAGGGTTTCACCATGGTTGGCCAGGCTGGTCTCAAACTCCTGACCTCAAGTGATCTGTCTCCTTGGGCCTCCCAAAGTGCTGGGATCACAAGCATGAGCCACTGCACCAGACCCATACTGTCACCTTTACTGTGACCCCAACCACGGCCCAATTCTGACTGTGATTCCTGCCCGAAAATCATCGGCTTTGCCCCAACCTGTCCCCTCCCCCAGGCTGGTGATGGTGACTACCCCCACCCACAGCCCTCAGGCCCCACCCTCCAGGCCCTAGGGAGGAGGCGGCACCTTCACATCGATGCCCCCATGGGAGCGCTGGCGCAGGGCCTGGAAAGGGTAGGAGCCATTGGCCGGGTTGAGGTCAGAGCGGGCCGAGATAGCGTTCTCCCCATTGGGCTGGGGGTTGCAGGCTTTGCACAGTGACAGGGGGTCATGGAGGAAGTCATTGTACCTGGATGGGGGAAGGAGGGAACAACAGTCATGCCAGGAAGGAGGGGCTAAGACAGAGGCCAAAACCCTCACAGGCAGCCCCGTAAGAGCCACCAGCCTTCAACTTGCCCTGTCCCCCCCACCCCAGGTTGCCCCAGCCAGTTCCTCTGCCTGAGGTCCTGACGCCTTTCACCTAAGTCACTCATCCTTCATTATTCAGCTCTCTGCTCAGGCACCTGTCCTCAGGGAAGGCCTCCATGCCACTGCCCCAGCCAGGTGAGGCACCGTTTGTCCCTAGTCAGCCTTTCTCGGTGCCGTCTTTATACATCAACATCAGTGCAAGTACCTGATGGATTTCTGCACCACCCAGGAGATAGGACAGTGGGGCACAGGTTTTCTATCTGTTGCTCCTGGTACCAAGCACAGTGCCCAGCACTTGAGGTCACTCAACAGATGTCCAGCACCCTCCCCTTAACTATGAGGACAGTAATACGACCCAATTGGAGCATGGCCCCCGAGCAGCTGCACTGGCATTCAGCATCTGACCACCCGCTGCTGGCCCTCCGGGGCTGGCGGCAACGTTTGAATGAGTTGGTACCAAAAAACGCACAGAAAGTTCTGTGTGCCTACGGCCTCCCTCTCCCCAGCCCACCACCCAACCGGCACCCACCTCATCAGCCGGACCATGGATTCTATGTCATGCACCAGTGACTGGTTCCGCCGGAAGATCTGGGCCCGGGGGCTCCCGTCATAAGAAAACCAGTCCCCATACTGGGCCACTAGGGCCTGCAGCCCACTGGCGTTGAACACAGTCTCGAAGGACCTGCCAGGGACAAGGATGGTCACCCATGACCCCCACTAGCCTCACTCAGCCAAGACTGTAACCAGGGAGGGGAGGGGAAGTCACACCAGGACATTATCCCTTACAACTATGGCATTTGGGCAGGGCATGGGGGCTCAGGCCTGGAATCCCAGCACTTTGGGAGGCCGAGGCAGGCAGATCACCTGTGGTTAGAAGTTCAAGACCAGCCTGGCCAACATGATGAAACCCCGTTTCCACTAAACATATAAAAATCAGCTGGGAGCAGTGGTGCGCACCTGTAATACCAGCTACTCGGGAGGCTGAGGCAGGAGAATCACTTGAACCCAGAAGGTAGAGGTTGCAGTGAGCTGAGATCACGCCACTGTACTCCAACCTCACTGACAGAGTGAGACTGTCTTAAAAAAAAAAAATTAGCTGGGCATGGTGGCGCATGCCTGTAATCTCAACTACTCGGGAGGCTGAGGCACAAGAATCGCTTGAACCTGGGAGGAGGAGGTTGCAGTGAGCTGAGATCGTGCCACTGCACTCCAGCCAGGGCAACAGAGTAAAGCTACATCTCAAAAAAAAACAAACAAAAACAACTCCGACATTCCGGATAACAATAATGTTTTTCATTTGTGCTGGGAGTGGCTTGGTGGGGTGGCCAAGCTTGGGCTCTGGGGCCCAAAAGTCATGGCTTCCAATCCTGCCTTCAGTCCAGGTGTGGTGGCTCACACCCGTAATCCCAGCACTTTGGGAGGCCAAGGCAGGCAGATCATTTGAGGTTAGGAGTTTGAGACCAGCCTGGCCAACATGGTGAAACCCTGTCTCTACTGAAAATAGAAAATTAGCCAAAGTTGGTAGCGGGTGCCTGTAATCCCAGCTACTCAGGAAGCTGAGGCAGGAGAATCACTTGAGCCCAGGAGCAGAGGCTGCAGTGAGCTGAGATCGTGCCACTGTACTCCAGCCTGGATGACAGGGCAAGACTCTGTCTCAAAACAAAAAACTAAAAACAAATTCTGCCTTCACTGTTCACCAACAGGGAAGGTTGGGAAAGTGAGGAACTTTCTCAGAGCCTCAGTATTATCATCTGTGAGCTGGGAGCAGGAACTCTAGTGACCACACGTGGCCGTTGCAAGACTCAAATGAGAAAACGCAGGTAAAGAGAGTGAGCCTCAGGTGATGGCTGCACAGCCCAGTAAGAGATCCAGCCAGAGACCCTGGCAGGGGTCAGGCCCTGAGCCTAGCCACCCCACACCACCCTACTCTGGGCATCAGAACCAGAGCTCACATCGCTGCTGACCTGAGCCACGAAACTACACTGCCAAGCTGTCTGGGCTCCCCCAGCCAGAAAAGGGTAGGCTGGGCTTTCTCGTTCCGTGGGTTTAAAAATAGCACCTAGGAAAGAGCTGGGCAAGGGAAGAGGTGGACCCGGAGGGTGACAGGGAGCGGGGTGAGAAGGCACGCACGGTATGTTGTAGCTGGCCCAGTAGGTCTTCTGGTAGAGTTCTGAGGTCTTGTCAGCCACCACCACCATGCCGCTGAGACCGAGAAGAGAGATGGGGTGGAAGTGATCAGAAAAGGGGCTCCCATGGGCACTGCCCTGTTTGGGGAACCCCGATGGCTCCCCATTGCCTGGAGGATGGATTAAGTCTTGAACTTCAGTCCCCTCCAGCCACACCTTCCTGAGAGCATTCCCTTCCTGCACGGTGCCAGCACAGCTCCAGGCCTTCACCATGGCAGTCCTCTCTGCCCCGAGCCCCACCTCCTCCCTCCCAGGGTACGCACGGGATCTGCTCCAGGACGGTGAGCACCCGGCTCCCGGGGCTGGGCCTGCCTGGGACGAATGCTTTGTAGTCCACGATCATCCACTGGTTGTTATACCTGCCAAGCACAGGTAGGGAGGACTGAACAGAGCTGGGGCCACCTCCCCAGCTTCCCCTACCCCGAAGTGTCTCACACAGCTAGGAATCAAGGGAAGTGGGCCTGGGGGTGTCCAGCCATTCAACTGACACCCTGACACTGCAATATGACCTGGTGTCCACAAACTCCTCTCTCATCATGCTGCTTGACTGTTCCAGAATATTCTATGGCTCCCTAGGTCAGCTCCTCTGCTGGATGCTGTAAGACCAGCATTGCCCAGTTCCAGTGCCTCTGGCTCATAGGCCCTGCTACCCACACACATCCACCTCCTCAAACAGCCCTCCCCACTGTCCCCTCGAGAGTCCTCAGGTTCCAAGTGCTCTTCCTCTACTGCCACCAAGGCACGCCTTCCTGGGCTGAGAAGCCTGCAGGGGAGAGGCAAATCCTTGCCTTCCCTAGCCTCAGTTTCCCCATGTATAAAACAGAGGAGGGCGTGGGGTATGCGACCCAGTGCCACATCTGATCCCCCAGGGTCTGAGTGTTAAAGTGGAGGTTCTATCTTTTGGTGCAGGGGAAGCCACTGGGCCAGAAGCCCACTCACGTGCCACTGTTGAACCTCTTGAAGATGTCTGCCCAGGTGGCCCCATCCGAGGCCAGGCGGTTGGCCACAATGTTGCGTACCCACTCCAGCACACAGCCCCTGGGCCGCACGTACTTCCACAGGGCTGGGTTCTTGTTGCCAATGGTGGTCTCCAGTGTTACCTGTGGGAAGGTCAAGGGGGGTGCTGCACAGCCTAGGCATGCTGCCACCAAGTGGCCGTACTTCATCAGTCATGGCTCATAAATTAAATGGTTTTGTTTTGTTTTGTTTTGTTTTGTTGTGTTTTGAGACAGAGTCTCACTCTGTTGCCCAGCTGGAGTGCAGTGGTGTAATCTCAGCTCTCTGCTAGCTCTGCTTCCCAGGTTCAAGCTATTCTCGTGCCTCAGCCTTCCTAGTAGCTGGGATTACAGCCAAGTGCCACTACGCCTGGCTAATTTTTGTATTTTTAGTAAAGACGGGGTTTCACCATGTTGGCTAGGCCAGTCTCGAGCTCCTGACCTTAAGTGATCCATCCACCTCGGCCTCCCAAAGTGCTGAGATTACAGGTGTTAAATACTTTAATCTGCCAGGCATGGTGGCTCACATCTGTAATCCCAGCACTTTGGGAGGCCAAAGAGGTGGATAACCTGAGGTCAGGAGTTCCAGACTCCTTATCTCCTGCCTCTATAGCCCTCAGCCCTACTGCTGCCATTTTCATGTCCATGAGTACCCAAGCCTGCATGACAGTGTGAGGCCCTATCTCTGGCCAACATGGTGAAACCCCATTTCTACTAAAAATACAAAAATTAGCTGGGCATGGTGGCACATGCCTGTAATCCCAGCTATTAGGGAAGCTGAGGCAAGAGAATCACTTGAACCTGGGAGGCAGAAGTTGGAGCGAGCCCAGATCAAGCCACTGCACTCCAGCCTGGGTAACAGAGGGAGATTCCATTTCAAAGAAATAAATAAAAATAAAAACTCATGTCCAGTTGAGGCACATGTTCCTTACTGGTTTCTTGGACAAGCACAGAGTGGGATTTGGTATCAGGCATCTAGCTTTGCCCTGGGGAACAGCCCCTGAGAAGCCAAAAGAGCTGCTCCCATGAACCCACTCCCTCACCAAGCTGGGCAACCTCCCATTCCCACCCCTTTCCCACAGTTCTGCAGGAAAGGTTGCACGGCTTGAGGCTGTCAGCCTGGCAGACCCAGCGGTCAGAGGCCTAGGAGGGCTTACAACAGGAGAGACCCTTGGTCCCCCTCCAGTCCTGGAGCAGGCAGGATGCCCACTGCTGCCTCCAACTGCCTCCTCCCCCTTCTCCATCTCCTGGAATGCTTGGCTGTCTTCAGCATATTTGAAAAGTAAAGCCTTGTTCTTGTGAGTTAAAAACAAAACAAAACAAAACAAAACTCTTGCAATCCCAGCTATTCAGAGGCTGAGACACAAGAATCACTTGAATCCAGGAGGCATATGTCGAAGTGAGCTGAGATCGCGCCACTGCCCTCCAACCTGGGCAACAGAGAGAGACCCTGTCTCAAAAAAAAAAAAAAAAAGAAGCTGAAGAAAGCTAAAAAATGGCTGTATCCATAAATGTGATTTTTTCTATTTATTTATTGATGTATTTATATACATTAAGACAGAGCCTTGCTTTGTCACCCAGGTTGGAATGCAGTGGCACGATCTCTGCTCACTGCAACCTCCTCCTCCCAGGTTCAAGTGATTCTCCTGCCTCAGCCTCCCAAGTAGCTGGAATTACAGATGTGCGCCACCATGCCCAGCTAATTTTTTTTTTTTTTTTTTTGTATTTTTAGTGGAGACAGGGTTTCACCATATTGGCCAGGATGGTCTTGAATTCCTGACCTTGTGATCTGCCTGCCTCGGCCTCCAAACATGTTGGGATTACAGGCATGAGCCACTGAACCCTTTTCTTCTCTTTAAAGAGGATATCCAGGCTGAGCACAGTGGCCCCTGCCTATAATCCCAGCACTTTGGGAGACCAAGAGGGGGCAGATCACTTGAGCCCAGGTGGTTGAGACCAGTCTGAGCAACATGGCAAAACCCTTTCTCTACAAAAAATAAAAAAAATGAGCCAGACATGGTGGCAGGCAACTATAGACCCAGCACTTGGGAGGCTGAGATGGGAGGATTGCATGAGGCTGGGGAGATAGAGGCTGCAGTGAGCTGTGATCATGCCACTGCTCTCAAGCCTGCCCAACAGTGTGAGACTCTATCTCTGAAAAAAAAAAGAAATCCTGAAATTTGGTATTTTCTTCCACTGTTAACGTGACACACCACAATGGTATTAGCAGTCGCTGGGACTGTCACTACCAGAAATCACAGATGTTTTTCCATCAGATTACAAGGCTGTACATATCTTAAAGTATTCATGCACCTTGCTTCTTCTAACTTAAAATATTTACCATACCTGCTGCTGGATCTTATTATTCAGTATGTTACTTAAAAGTTTACTTAGATTTTGATAACTGTATTTCACTATAACTGGTTTCCTTTATAATCCTATACATTTTGGTTTATCCATCTAAAAGCCCTACTCTGCCAGGCGCAGTGGCTCACACCTATAATCCCAGCACTTTGGGAAGTCGAGGCAGGAGGATCCCTCGAGCCAAGGAGTTCAAGACTAGCCTGGGAAATATAGTGAGACCTCATCTCTACAAAAATTAATAAATTAACTGAGTGCGGCATGGGCCTGTAATCCCAGCTACTCAAGTAGGTGAGGTGGGAGAATCGCTTGAACCCAGGAGGCTGGAGGTGGCAGTGAGCCATGATCACACTACTGCATCCAGCCTGGGTGACAGAGCGAGACCCTGTCACTATGAAAAACAAAATAGGCTGGGCGTGGTAGCTCAAGCCTGTAATCCCAGCACTTTGGGAGGCTGAGGCGGGTGGATCACGAGGTCAAGAGATTGAGACCATCCTGATCAACATGGTGAGACCCCGTCTCTACTAAAAATACAAAAAATTAGCTGGGCATGGTGGCGCGTGCCTGTAATCCCAGCTACTCGGGAGGCTGAGGCAGGAGAATTGCCTGAACCCAGGAGGCGGAGGTTGTGGTGAGCCGAGATTGCGCCATTGCACTCCAGCCTGGGTCACAAGAGCGAAACTCTGTCTCAAAAAAAAAAAAAAAAGAAAAAGAAAATGATAATAATAATAAAAACACTATTCTGAGAAGAGGGTCACCAGCCTCTTGGACTGCCCAAGGAATCTGTGGCACAAAAACAATTAGGAACCCTGAATGAAGGGAAGTTTCCTACCCAGATTCTTTCCTGGTAACTAGCTGGAACCATTTCACTTGTCCCTCCCCAGCTGCCTCCGTCCCCTTCCTGGGCCACAGCATAAGGGTTCCCTCACCCACTTCCTGGCCCTCTCCTGCCTCATTCCAAACTCAGAAAAAAGCAAAAGGATCAGACAAGAAGAGCCCCCTCCCCTCCCATCCCCGCAGGGAGCTGGGCGTTCTCTACCCTAAGGGTGTTTTTTAAAGTGATGTTTTTTTCTCCTCTGCAGCGTTGCCCTGGAGATCAAAGAGTTCACTTACTCAGCGAGGAATGCCAGGGACAAATTTCTAAACAAGTCTGGACCCCATCCAGGAAAAAAGATAAAAACAACACACTGTAAACAGCCTCTATTCAGCAAACCTGGTCAGGTCAGAGGGGCTCTGGGGAAAGCAAGAGGGAGGCAGGAGGAGAGAGAAGTGGGGTGGGTTGGGGGAGTTAGCCTGAATCAATAAAAACAAGCGTGGTCACTGAGGTCAGGGATAGTCCCAAACATCCCAAGTTTAGCCTTTCCTGACAACCACGGTTACATGCAGAGTCCCAGGCCAGCTGCAGGCTTTGGAGGCCCTGTGTAGGGCCTGGGGGTCTACACTTAAATACCCCTTGTGGTGATCCAAGTCCCCAGAGCAGGAGATGGGTGAGCCTGGGCTCTGACTGGCAGGCGGGGGGATGTGTCCCCCTTGTCCTCTGCTGCACCCCTAGCTCCTACAGGGCACCCAGCACCGGGCTGCAGCCTGGTCCCCACTTGCTGCAGTAATCAATTCTGCCGGCTCAGAGCTGCTGTGTGACAAACACCTGGAACGGAGGAGACACGAGAAGGGAACTCACCAGCCCGCTGCCCAGGATGTAGAAGTCATCGCAGGAGAAGATGGTGCCAGGGTAGGAGGAGAAGACCAGCTTGCTGCCGGGAACCAGCGGGTAGCCCCCTGTGCAGGCGGAGCGAGCCGGGGATGCTGGTCAGACAGGCCCATGGGGAGGCCCCTGCACCCCACCTGACAAGACTCAGATCTCAAGGTGGGGTGCAGGCAGGCCTCAGAGAAAGCCCCTACTCTGTCCTTTCTGTCACTTAGCAAATGAGGTCACTGGACATAGAAAAGTGCGAACGTGTGCAAGTAAAAATAAAAGCTAGCAGCAAAACTTATATAGTTGGTCCTCCATTATCTGTGGGCTCCACATCCTTGGGTTCAGTCAACTGAGAAGCAAAATACTCGGAAAGAAACATGATTAAAGAAAAACAACAGTCAGGCTAGGCGCGGTGGCTCACGCCTGTAGTCCCAGCACTTTGGGAGACTGAGGCGGGCAGATCATGAGGCCAGGAGATCAAGACCATCCTGGCCAACATGGTGAACACTCATCTCTACTGAAAACACAAAACTTAGCTGGGTGTGATGGCGCGCGTCTATAATCCCAGCTACTCGGGAGACTAAGAAAGGAGAATTGCTTGAACCTGGGAGGCAGAGATTACAGTGTGCTGAGATCGCGCCACTGCACTCCAGCCTGGCAACAGAGTGAGATTCCATCTCAAAAAAAAAAAAACCAAAAAAACAAAACAGTAAAAGATAATACAAATTTTAAAAATATAGTATAACAACTATGAACATGGCATTTACATTGTATTGGATATTACAAGTAATCTAGAGATGAGTGCAGTATATGGGAGGATACTATAGGTTATATGTAAGCAGCCGCCATGTTACATACGAGACCTGAGCTTCCACAGGGAATCCTGGAGCCAACCCCCACACAACACCAAGGGACAACTCTGTGTGTGTGTGTGTAGTAAATACATATACATATATATACTCAAATAGATAGACAAACAGATATTTTGTTTTTGTTTACTGGTCCCTTTCTTTTTTTTTTTTTTGAGACAATTTCGCTCTTGTTGCCCAGGCTGGAGTGCAATGGGGCAATCTCGGGTCACTGCAACCTCCACCTCTTGGGTTTAAGCGATTCTCTTGCCTCAGCTTCCCCAGTAGCTGGGATTACAGGTGCACCCCCTGCAGGTACCCTCACCCCTGCTCTAGAATTCCTTGTACCTGAAGCCCATGCCTTGACAAGTGCTAGTCTGGTTTTAGGTACGGTCTACGGCAGGCCTACTGTGACCTCACACTTATGCTGGAAGCTCATTACCCCTGTGATCTTGTAAACTGACTCCTTACAACTGCCCTATGTGGGGGCAGGGAATTATCATCTCCACTTTGCAGATAAGGAAATCTGAGACTAAGAAAGGCTAAGTAACTTAGCAGAGGTCAAACAGTTAAACAGCTGAGCAGGGATTCTACCCAGCTTTCTTCCCTCCAGTGCTGCAGAGTTCTGGGTGTAGCTCTCTGAATTCTCCTTTTTTTTTTTTTGATACAGAGTCATGCTCTGTTGCCCAGGCTAGAGTGCAGTGGGGTGATCTCGGCTCACTGCAACCTCTGCCTCCCAGGTTCAAGTGATACTCTTGCCTTAGCCTCCCAGGTAGCTGCGATTACAGGCATCCACTACTACACTTGGCTAATTTTTGTATTTTTAGTAGAGACAGGGTTTTACGATGTTGGCCAGCCTGGTCTGGAACTCCTGACCTCAAGTGATCCATTGGCCTCGCCCTCCCAAAGTGCTGGAATTACAGGCATGAGCCACCGTGTCCAGCCTGAATTATCTCTTCTATAGTAAGTTTTTGTACTTTAAAAGAAAAGGATCAGTAGGTCGGATGTGGTGGCTCACCCCTATAATCACAGCACGTTGGAAGGCCAGGTTCAGGAGTTCGAGACCAGCCTCACCAACACAGTGAAATTCCATCTCTACTAAAAATACAAAATTAGCCAGGGATGGGGGTGTGCACCTGTAGTCCCAGCTACTCAGGAGGCTGAGGCAGGAGAAGCATTTGAACCCGGGAGGCAGAGGCTGAAATAAGCTGAGATGGTGTCACTGCACTCCAACCTGGGCAACAGAGTGAGACTTGGTCTCACACACACACAAAAAAAAAAAAGAAAGAAAAAGAAAAAAAGGCAAAGTGGGACCCAGTGCAGTGGCTCACACCTGAAATCCCAGCACTTTGGGAGGCTGAGGCAGGGGTATCACCTGAGGCCAGAAGTTTGAGACCAGCCTGGGCAACACAGTGAGACCCTGTCTCAAAATAAATAAATAATTTGGAGAAACAAAACGTGTAGCGGACCAAACATGACAGTACTGGCAACTCTCCAAGGCAGCCTATCGAGCAAAAGAAGGAAGTCACAAATTATCCATGTGGTATCATCTTAATTATGCTTTTAAAAAAAACAGAAAGCAAATATTTTAGAGCAATGAAACTATTCTGTATAATACGATAATGATGGGTACAGCACCCCAGTCCATGCATGAAGCCCACCCTTGCAAATTTTTTTGAGAAGGAGGCTCACTCTGTCACCCAGGCTGGAGTATAGTGGCACCATCTTGCCTCACTGCAACCTCTCCCTTCGAGGTTCAAGCAATTCTAGGGCTTCAGCCTCCCAAGTAGCTGGGATTACAGGTGTGCACCACCATGCCCGGCTAATTTTTGTATTTTTAGTAGAGATGGGGTTTCGCTATGTTGGCCAGGCTGGTCTTCAACTCCTGGCCTCAAGTGATCCACCCACTTCACACTCCCAAACTGCTGGGTTCACAAGCGTGAGCCATTGTGCCCAGCCAAGGTACATTTTTAAAAGTCTAGAAGAAAACATAACCAAATGTTGACAGAAATTTTCTCTTTCAGGTTGTGGAGCGTTTGAGTGATTTTCATTGTGAGGGTGTTTTGGAAGATTCTCTAATGTTTCATAACATACATGCATAACTTATGCAGTTTTTAAAATATATTAAAATTTTAATGCACATATAGCAATGAAAATGATATATCTACAGCTACACACAGTAATACAGATGAATCTCACAGACATACAGAACAAGTGAGCACATACTACAAGATTCCATTCATATAACATTCAAAACCAGGCAACCTAACGTATACTGTGAGGAATCAGGATAGGTGGTTGGATCAGGAGTTCGAGACCAGCCTGGCCAACATGGCAAAACCCCACCTCTGTTAAAAATACAAAAGTTAGCTGGGCATGGTGGTGCACGCCTATAATCCGCGCTACTCAGGAGACTGAGGCAGGAGAATTGCTTGAACCTAGGAGGCGAAGGTTGCAGTGAGCCAAGATTATGCCACTGCACTCTAGCCTGGACAACAGAGAGAGACTCTGTCTCAAAAAAAAAATAATAATAATCAGGTAACACACCACAAAAGCAAGCAGTTGAAGATCTCAGAGAAACTCATCTGTTTATACTTTCAGGGCTCCATAAGGAAACATAGAGGTTTCTCCCCGAAAAGGAGACTGGCACCTTGGCATCTTCTTGGTTGGATCACTTGAGGTCAGGACCAGCCTGGCTAATATGGTGAAACCCGTCCCTACCAAAACTACAAAAATTAGCCGGGCATGGTGGTATGCACCTGTAATCCCAGCTACTCGGGAGGCTGAGGCAGAAGAATCGCTTGAACCCAGAGGTGGAAGCTGCAGTGAGCTGAGACCGCACCACTGCACTGTAGTCTGTGTGACAGAGCAAGACTTTGTCTTGTACAAAAAAAAAAAGAAAAAAGAAAGAGAGAAAGCAGAATAGAGGTGATGCTGGGGTGGGGCTGTGCCTGGACAGGAATATGAGGGAAGCTTCCAGGGGCTGGGAATGTTCTGTCTCTCCAGCTGGCTGCTGTACATAGGTGTGTTCCACGTGCAGGAAATGCAAGCTGTACACTTACAGTGTATATGACGCCCTGTGTAAATGTCAATTTAGAGTTGACTTGAATTTCAATGAGTGGACGTTAGGTTGTTACCAAACCACTGTGGCAGCAGACTTGCTTATACACACTCCCCATGCAGAAGCTGAAATGTCTCTCTAGGGACAGACTGGAGTCAGAAAATTGCTGGATCACTGGAGTGACGAATTTTGAATTTTATTAGATGCCAGCTGGATTCCTCTTAAAAGTAGCTGCGCCAACACATGCTCCCATTAGCAACAAATAAGACTGGACACTTCCGCACCTCCTCACCAGCTCCTGCACATCAAATTTTTACATTTGGCCAAGGAGGTACTGTAAACATCTGGCAGGTATCCCTGGGGCTGATGCTGGGGCCTGCGATGAAGGACATGGCTCTATGGAGGACTTTGGCCTTGATCATAAACTTTTGTTTTCTTTTTCTTTTTCTTTTTTTGAGACGGAGTCTCACTCTGTTGCCCAGGCTGGAGTGCAGTGGCACAATCTCAGTTCACAGCAACCTCCACCTCCTGGGTTCAAGCAATTTTCCTGCCTCAGCCTCCCGAGTATCTGAGACTACAGGCACTCACCACCACACCTGGCTAACTTTTAGTATTTTTAGTAGAGACAGGGTTTCACCATGTTAGCCAGGATGGTCTCGATCTCCTGACCTTGTGATCTGCCCACCTCAGCCTTCCAAAGTGCTGGGATTACAGGCATGAGCCAACGTACCCGGCCTTTTTTCTTCTTTATTAGAGACGAGGTCTTGCATTGTCACCCAGGCTGGGGTGCAGTGGCGTAATCACTGCTCACTGCAGCCTCGACCTTCTGGGCTCAAGCAATCCTCCTGCTTCGAACTCCCAAAGTGCGGAGATTATAGGCATGGGCCACCATGCCCGGTCAGTTTGCATATTTGACAGGAAGAGTGTATTCACGCATGCCCTGCAGTTGGTTGTTAGTAAAAATAGCTCTAATTTTTCCCATGCCTGCATCCAAGTCATGTGCAATATGACTCTGCAGTTTCTCACAGCAAATGGTAGAGCCTGTTCTCCCACCTCTTGAGTCTGGGCTGGCCACCAGACTTGATTTGGGTAAAGAATGCTATGTCAGCCAGGTGCAGTGGCTTACTCCTTTAATCCCAGTACTTTGGGAGGCCGAGGCAGGCAGATCACCTGAGGTCAGGAGTTCAAGACTAGCCTGGCCAACGTGGCAAACCCCATCTCTACTAAAATTAGACGAACACAGTAGCATGCCCCTGTAATTTCAGCTACTCAGGAGTCTGAGGCAGGAGAATTGCTTGAAGCTGGGAGGTAGAGGTTGCAGTAAGCTGAGCACTGCACTCCAGCCTAGGTGACAGAGCAAGACTCTGTCTTAAAACAAACAAACAAACAAAAAAAACCACACTGGGTCAAGCCAGGTGTGGTGATCCAAGTACTTTGGGAGGCCAAAGTGAGCAGATCACTTGAGGTCAGGAGTTCAAGACCACCCTGGCCAATATGGGTAAACCCTGTCTACTAAAAACCCAAAAATTAGCTAGGTATGGTGATACATGCCTATAATCCCAGCTTCTCAAGAGGCTGAGGCAGGAGAATTGTTTGAACCCGGGAGGCAGAGGTTGCAGTGAGCTGAGATCATACTACTACACTTCAGCCTGGGCACCAGAGCAAGACACTGTCTCAAAATTTAAAAAAATAAAAGAATGCTGTGTTAGTTTCACCAAGGCCTCAAGAGGTCTTCACCACATCCCACCCCAATGCCACATGCAACAGGCCTGTGTTCACCTGCTGATGATGGCCCAGCTGTCCCCATCACCCTGGCTGACAGTCAACCCCAGACAGGAGAATGAAGCCAACCCAGGTCAGCCAGCCCACCCAAGCTGACCTGCCAGTGGACTGCAGATGCATCAGTGAGCCTAGCCAAGATCAGCCTGGCCCAGCCCAGAAAACCAAAACCACCCAGCTGACCCACAGAGGCAGGAACAAAAAATAAATAGTGGTTGCTTAAGCTTTGGTTATTTTAGATTTTGGGGTGGCTGATTAAGCAGCAATAGGTAAAATTAAAAAGGCAATAAACATGTATAAAAAGATGCACTGGCTAGGCGCAGTGGCTCACATAAGTAATGGCAGCATTCTGGGAGGCCAAGTCAGAAGGATCACTTGAGCCCAGGGTTTGAGACAAGCCTGGGCAACATTGTGAGACTCTGTCTCTTAAAAAAATAAAAAATAAAAAAATTAGCTGAGTGTGGTAGTACATACTTTTAGTTCAAGATTCTTGGAAGGCTGAGGTGGGAGGATAACCTGAGACTGGGAAGTCAAGGCTGCAGTGAGCCACGACTGTGCCACTGCACTCCAGCCTGGGCAACAGAGCAAGATCCTGACTCAAAAAGAAAAAAACAAAAACAGGATGAACTCTTGAAATGTGCCTACAGTGACTCCATGTGTTGGAAGGGTTTCCAAGGCCCACACCTCCTAGGACCACCCCCATGTGGGTGCCCACCCACTTGCTCATCCCCCCAGACACGCCCGCAGCCACCTACCCTGGGGGCCTTCCCGGAACTGAAGCCAGTACTTCTTGATAACGCGCAGCATGTGCTGATAGTTGTTCCAGGTGTTGTGGGCAACCAGGAGGTCACGCTGGTTGGGCAGCAGCTTGATGAGGGCAGAGCAGGAGCCGGAGCCCAGGGAAGATTTGATCTCGGTCTTGTTCAAGGCCAGCTCCAGGTCTTCCAGATCCCCAGAGAGCTGCAACAGACTAAGGAGGGCCAGGGCACCAGAGGGTTACCATGCTGCTGTGGGTGCTGTTATGTTCCCATTTTGCAGAGGAGAAAGCTGAGGCTCTGGGAGGTCAGCTGACTGTTCTGAGGCCATAGAGCCAGGCAGTGGCAGGATTGACACTGGAATCCAGGTCTGTCCAACTATGAGCATGTGGCCCTTCTTCCCACCCTGTCCACTCTGGGGGTGGCACTTACAGGAACCCCAAGGGTTTGATGGTGAACTTCCCAGCTGGGAAGCTTACACGGCCTTCGAAGCTGTCCTCCAGGCCTTTCAGCTGCAGGAGGGTCAGCCGCACCTAGGGGAGGGGGCAGGGGCAGAGGGAGGGTGAGGCCTCTCCTCCAGGCTCACACCTTCTTCTTCAATGGGAGGGGCTCTGGCTTAGGGGTTCAGACAGAGCAGGAGGCCTGGGGGTACCCTTCAGACTCCAGCCAGCTTTGACCCCCCCAAACTACCATCCACCCCTCCATGCTGAGTACTCTCCTGCTTTCAGTGAATTAACTCTATGTCTGTGCCCTGTGGATGCGTGGTGGATGTGTTAACCCTAAATCAGCCACACTTAAGAGCCTAGTTCAGAAGCCATCTCTTCTAGGATGACTCCCAGCCTGGTCTGGCCTCTTGCCAACTGCTCCTGTTCTGAGTTCTGTACTGACTATATTATTGCCTCGGCCACCTGTCACATGCATCTGACTTCTCCCCATTGTCATCGTTTTGCCTCAACATCCTGTAACCATAAAGTATCATCAGTGCATCCCTCATGGGGCCTTGGCCAGGGACACCAGGCACTTAGTAAGCATCTGCAAGACGGATGGGTGGGCTGTTGGATGGATGGATGGTGGATGTATGTATGTATGTATGAGTGGATGGGTGGCTTGACAGGTGGAAGGCAGATGGATGTGTGGGTGAGTAGGTAAGTGGATTTGTATATATAAGCATGGGTGGGTGGGTGGATGGATGGACGACGGATGGACAGGTGGGTGGACAGATGAATGGGTGGGTAAATGAATGGATGCATGAATGGATAGATATGTAGATGGGTGAGTGGGTGAGTGGGTGGGTGGATAGATGGATGGATGGATGGATGGATGGGGGGTGGGAGAATAGATGGGTAAATGGATGGATGGGTGAGTAAATGAATAGATGGAGGTAGATGGCTGAGTGCTGGGTGGGTGGGTGGATGGGTGGGTGGGTGGATGGATGGATGGATGGATGGATGGATGGATGGAAGAATAAACAGGTAAATGGTTGGATGGAAGAGTGAATAAACAGATGGAGGTAGATGGGTGAGTGATGGGTGGGTGGATGAATGGATAGATGGGTGTGCAAATGGATGGATAGATAGATGCATGATGGGTGGATGGGTGGGTGGTAGATGTGTGAAACGGACAAGTAGATGGGTGGGTGGTAGAAGAGGCTGTCTTAGTAAGGGTATGAGTAGGGGGGTTGGTGAACACTGAGAAGTGCTACAGAGGAAAATGGTGCCAACCTGGCCTAGGCTAGGCAGACATGCTAATAGGCATTGACAGCCACTTCACACAGTGTCATGTGTACTTCACTGTAAGCACCTGGCATTAAATAACTGACTTTTCCAGGGATGGCCTAGCCAGTGGCCCAAAGGCAGAGCACCTGCCTGGCCTCTCCGTTAGCTGCCAGCTGATCAGCAGCTTCCTCAAGGAAAGGAAAACGAAATTCACTGTGCCCAGATTCTGGGATTTTCCAGCTTTCCCCTTCCTCTCTTTCTCATATTGTATTTACTTGCATCCAACATAACCAATCTACCAAGCAACCTCCCTTGTATGCAAGTGAAACAGCATGCTAACTGACTTTGTTTTCAGTCATTCTTTGACAGTAAGTAGGCTAGGGTGGATGGCTGGAACTCCAGCAAGTGGACAGATGGAGACTGGACAGATGGACATGTGGCAGGTTGGCTAGGAGGGTGGAGATGATGATGGACACATGGCGGCTGGGCAGCTGGACATGCCACGAGGCTGGCCAGGACAGCAGGGGACAGGACGGCTGGCCAGCTGGAAGCCCCCTCCCACCAAGCGTGGCAGCTGGGCTCACCTGGTGCCAGTAAGCTGAGTCTGGGTTTGACTGCATCTCTTCCTGCATCCACTCCAGGTTGGCCTCCAGGAAGCTCTTGAGCCTCTCACAATAACCAACTTCGTACTCGAAGGGACCACAGTAATTCACCACGGTGTTCATCCAGTGCATGTAGATGAGCTGCGGGGCAGGGTGATGGGTGAGGTGGGGGTGGGCAGCTGGGGTGCTCTCTTCCCTGAGAGCCCCCACCCAGGCTGCCCCAAAGCAGAGGCTGCTGGCGTGGCTACCTGAACCCTTGCTCATGCCATCCTCTCCCTGGAGGCTCCTCTTCCTGCCCAGCTCTATTCCTGGTAGGGACCCCAGATCCCTGGAAGTCGCCCTGAGAGCCTTTAGCCTGCAAAGCCTGTACCTGATGGCACCATCTCTGCTACTGGGGACCCCAATCTATGTGTTCAGCTAGTCAATCAATGAACGTTTTTTTGAGTACCTATTACGTTCCAGCCTAAGCACTGAGGAGGCATTAGGGAACAAAACAGCAACACCCCTGCTGACTCCACCAGGCACAAGAATGCCATGCCAGTTTCACCCAGATCTCATGCAGCCCTCTGCACTTCCCACCCAAATGCCACCTGCCTGAATCTGGGCTCGCCTGCTGGGGGACAAAAGACCATGCAGCCTGGTCATCCCTGTCACCCCAGCTGACAGAGAGCCAGCCCCCAGACATGTGAACGAGGCCATCGAGGCCAGCCAGCAGACTCAGAAGCATCAGAGAGCCCAGCCAAGATCAGCTGCCTGGCCCAGAGTAACACCAGCCACCCAGCTGGCACCCCAGGAGGAGGGGAGTGGCTGCTGCTGCCGCTCTATGGAAGGGGGCTCACTACCCATAGCTAGTGGTAATGACCACCCTTTCTATGAACTGGCACATTCAACCCCCACAACTCTGTCAGGAGGGTGCTATTATCACCACTCCCACTTACAGCTGAGGAAATCAGGGCACAGGTTAAGTAACTCCCAAGGTCACCCAGGTGGTAAATCAAAGAGCCATAACAAATCCATATTAAGATGGGGCTTAAGCCGGGCATGGTGGTGTGTGCTTGTATTCTCAGCCACCTGAGAAGTGGAGGTGGAAGGATGGCCCGAGCCCGGGATTTTGGGGCTAGCCTGGGCAACACAGGAAGAAGTGCTCCTTCCCCGTCACCTCTAGGCATCTCAGATTCACCCATTTCCGCTGCTCTGTTAACGCTGCCCTGCACACCTCCACCTAGTTAGCTATTCACCTGCCCGGGGCATCTTAAAGACACTTTGGGGCTGCTTTGAGCACCTCATGCACACCCCTGGGTATGCATCCCCCCTAGGGTATACCCTCTAGCAGGAGGGCTGCTGGGTCCTAGGGCACACACAGGTTCAACTCCACAAGCTGACGTCAAATTATTTTCCAATTTGGGTGACCCAATGCACACCGCCATCTATATCATGGGAGACAGCTGTCACTCCATAGCCTCGTCTACTTCGTGTGCGTGTGTGTGTTTGTGTGTGTGTGTGTGTGTGTGTGTTTTGAGACAAGGTTTCACTTTGTCACCAGGCTGGAGTACAGTGGTACAATCCTAGCTCACTGCAGCCTCCAGCTCCTGGGCTCAAGCAATCCTCCCTCCTGGGCCTCCCAACGTCCTGGGATTACGGGCAGGCGCTCTGCCTTTGGGCCACTGGTTAGGCCATCAATGGAAAAGTCAGTTATTGATGGAGTCCCTGGAAGATGGCAGGTATTTACTGTGAAGTACACATGACAATGCCTGTTAGCATGTCTGCCTAGCCTAGGCCAGGTGGCTCACACCTGAAATCCCAGCACTTTGGGATGAGGCGGGCAGATCACTTGAGGTCAGGAGTTTGAGATCAGCCTGGCCAACACGACAAAACCCCATCTCTACGAGAAATGCAAAAACTAGCCAGGCGTGGTGGTGTGCACCAGTAAATTCCAGCTACTCTGGAGGCTGAGGCATGAGAATTGTTTGAACCCAGGGAGGTAGAGGTTGCAGTGAGCCGAGATCGCGCCACTGTACTCCAGCTTAGGTGACAGAGCAAGACGGTCTCAAAAAAAAAAAATTTTTACCCTAGGTACTATCTGATACACAGAAATAATACACAACATATTCTAAGTTATGATGCATGATAATAAAATGAACACCCAAACTAAAACCTAGAACGTTACTGGTACCATTGAGTATCCCCTAAGCCCCTGCCTCCTCTACCACAAAGGTACCCACCACCCTAAATGTGGTAGCTATCATTCTCTTTCATTCATTCATTTATATTGAGATATAGTCTGCATACCATAAAATTCACCATTTAAAAATGTATAAATCAGCTGGGCGTGGTGGCTCCCACCTGTAATCCCAGCACTTTGGGAGGCCTAGGCGGGCGAATACTTGAGGTCAGTAGTTCAAGACCAGCCTGGCCAACATGGCAAAAACCCATCTCTACTAAAAATATAAAAATTAGCTGGGCATAGTGGTGCATGCCTTAATCCCAGCTACCTGGGAGGCTGAGGCAGGAGAATCTCTTGAACCTGGGAGGCAGAGGTTGCAGCGAGCCAAGATCGCACCACCACACTCCAGCCTGGGAAACAGAGCAAGACTCTGTCTCAAAAAATAAAAAAGGTATAATTCATGGTTTTTAATGTATTTATAAGGTTGTGCAACCATTACCACTCTCTAACTCCAGAACATTCTCATCGTCCCAGAAAGAAACCCCCTACCCATCAATAGTCACTCCCCATTCCCCCCAAGTCCTGGCACCCACTAGGCAGCTTTCTGTCTCTGTAGATTTGCTAATTTGGGACTTTTTTTTTTGAGACAGAGTCTCGCTTTGTCGCCCAAGCTGGAGTGCCTGCCCGGCCTCTGGACATTTTATATAAATAGAATCATACAGTATGTGCCCTTTTGTGACTGGCTTTTTTCCTTAGCATGTTTTCAAGGTTCCTTCATGTTCTGATGTATGTCAGTCCTTCATTCCCTTTTATAGCCGAATGAACTTATGCTGTGTGAGAGATCACGTTTAATGCATCCATTCATCAGTAGCTGGGCTCTCGAGTTTTGCCCACTGCCTTACTTTTGTTCAGCTGCTTTTACTGCATGTGATGAGTCCCTCAACAATATATTATTTTGCTTTACTCCTCACTGAGCTTTATAAAAATTAACATCATCCATTCAAGAAGTCAGCAATATCAGAAGTGGATGAGAGCCAGGCTCAGTGGCCAGCCCCTAGTGTAATTTTCTCAAGAATGCATGTCCACTTTTTCTCCCCAGATAGATGGAAGGCAGCCGCAGGAGTAGGGAGGCCTATTCTGCATATATCTCAAAAGCACCCTGGAGAACACACTGCTAGGGGTGGGGCAGGGTGGGAGTCCCATGTCCACACTTCAGCCCTTACCTCCTCTGACACGGCGGCCTCCACCACGCCGGCTGCGTAGGCCTGCAAGCTGTCATTGTATCGGCCACTCGTGCCCAGCTCCAGAAAGGCCCACCTGGAGGGGAAGGAGGGGACACTCAGTCAGTGGCAGAGGCCCCCAGCTAGTCACATAGCATCTCCAGGCTTGAACCATGAAAATGACATGGTTCTAAGTTGGTCAGCAGATGCTCACGTGAATCTCCGTCTGTCCATCTTTGAAGCTTGCAGGAGTAAATCCCTCCAGTAGGAACTACTGGCTCAAAGGCCACATGTATTTTTAATTTTTGTAGATATTGACAAACAGCCTCCCCAAAAATGCTCGACCCGTCCACATTCCCTCACCCACAGTAACACCAGCTAACATCCACTGAGGATGAGATTCTGGCTCTGTGCCAAGCCATGTTCTAGCCACTTTCATGTCTATTAACTAATTGAGTCCTTGTGATAATCTTATAATCCTTCAAGGTGGGCAGGGTTATCATCCCCATCTTGTCCTCTTGCAGAAGAGGAGGAAATTAAAACACAAACTTATGTCACATACCACCCTCATTCCCATGTCCATGCCCTCTGCAACATGACTGCATTCCTCCACCAATAGCCAAATGTCCTTGTCTCCTCCTTCATTTGGTTTGGTTGTGTCATGTGACCTGCTTTGGCCAATGGGATGTCGGTGGAATTGACAGCATGCTGGTTATAAGATTAGCCTTCAGGAAGCCTCACTTGCCCTTTTGTGCCTCTGCCATCACCATGGGAAGAACACGCCTTGGCCAGCCTACTTGTCCCAGGGATATGAGAGTCACACAGGCACACCAGGTCTGCAGAGTTGCAGCATGAAGTAGAGCTGCCCCATGAGGATCAATGTTGTTTGTTTAAGCCGCTGGGTTGGGGCTGGTTTGTTACACAGCACTGCTGCCCAATACTAGCAGATACATCTGAAAGGTCATAGAGTTGTCAGGGGCAGGATTTACTTCCAGGAAGGCTGGCTCCCATGCCTCTGAAGGAACACTTCTCCACCTGATATATGCAAGTCACCTGCAGGCCTGGGTAGAAGACAAATTCTGATCAGGTCTGCGATGGGGTCTGAGACTCCATAGTTTTTTGTTTTTTGTTTTTTCCTGAGATAGTCTGGCTGTTCCCCAGGCTGGAATGCACTGGCATGATACTGGCTCACTGCAACCTCCACCTCCCAGGTTCAAGCGATTCTCCTACCTCAGCCTCCCAAGTAGCTGGGATTACAGGTGTGAGCCACCACGCCTAGCTAATTTATTTGTGTATTTTTAGTGAGAGACAGGGTTTCACTATGCTGGCCAGGCTGGTCTTGAACTCCTGGCCTCAAGAGATCTGCCCAACTCAGCCTCCCAAAGTGCTGGGATTACAGGCATGGCCACTGCACCGGAGCTTTTGTTTTGAGACAGCATCTTGCTCTGTCACTCAGGCTGGAGTACAGTGGCATGATCTTGGCTCACTACAGCCTCTAGCCTCCCAGACTCAATCTGTCCTTCCACCTAAGTCTTCTGAGCAGCTAGAACTACGGGCATGCACGAGCACACCCAGCTAATTTTTGTATATTTAGTAGAGATGGGGTTTCACCATGTTGGCCAGGCCAGTCTCAAACTCCTGACCTCAGGTGATGTACCCGCCTTAGCCTCCCAAAGTGAACGGGATTACCTGAGTGAGCCACTGCACCACGCCTCTGCACTTCTATGTAGCCTCCAGGTAAGGCCAGCACTGCCAGTCCTGGAACCCCAGCAGGTCATAGACTGAGTCTCTAGAGTGAGCGAACTTCCATTTGCCCACCTCCTCATTAAAATCATCACTAGCAAACAAGGTGTTAGTTGCAAAAGTTCCAAGGTGCTTACAATGTTTAAATTAGTTAAGTGACATATAGTTTCTTATTTTTATTGGTCATTTCTATTTCTCTGTTTCATGTCTTTACCCATTTTTCTCTAATGGGTTTTTGAAATCTTTTCTTATTGGTTGGTGAAATTCCCTGTATACATTAGCCCTCTGCTTGTCACTAATATTGAAAATACGAGGCTGAGCACAGTGGCTCTTGCCTGTAATCCCAGAACTTTGGGAGGCTGAGAATTCGAGGAATTCTAGACCAGCCTGGCCAACATGGTGAAACCCTGTCTCTACTAAAAATAGAATAATTAGCTGGGCGTGGCAACACACTCCTGTAATCCCAGCTACTCAGGAGTCTGAGGCAGAATCACCTGAACCTGGGAGGCAGAGGTTGCAGTGAGCCAAGATGGCACCACTGCACTCCAGCCTGGGTGATAGAGCCAGACTCCTGACTCAAAAAAGAATAAAAGAAGGGGAGGGGACAGGAGGGGGAAAAGGGAGGGGAGGTAGGGGAAGGAAGGGGAAGGCAGGAGAGGGGAGGAAGGGGAAGGGAGGGGAAGGGAGGAGAGGGGAAGGAGGAGAAGGGAGGTGAAGGGAGGAGAGGGGATGGAGGGAAATGGAGGAGAGGGGATGGAGGGAAAGGGAGGAGAGGTGAGGAGAGAGGAAGGAGGGGAAGGGAGGAGAGGTGGAGAGGGAAAGGGAGGGGAAGGGAGGAGAGGGGAGGGAGGGGAAGGAAGGAGAGCAGAGGGAGGGGAGGGAGGGGAAGGGAGGGGAGGGGCCAGGTGCAGGGGCTGATGTCTATAATCCCAGCATGTTAGGAGGCCAAGGCAGGAGCATCACTTGAGGCCAGGAGTTCAAGACCAGCCTGGGAAACATAGTAAGACCCAGTCTATATGAAAAAAATTAAAAATTAGAGGTGCAGTGGGGTGTGCCTGTAGTCCCAGCCACTCAGGAGGTTGAGATAGGAAGATCACGTGAGCCCAAGAATTTGAGGCTGCAGTAAGTTATGATCACACCACTGCACTCCAGCCTGGATGACAGAGATAACTCTGTCTCTAAATAATAGTAAGAGAAAACACGTTTGTATTTTAATTGGTTTTTGCATTTGTTCTTGCCATATAAACGTTTCCATTTTTATGTGGCCAGATCAATCTTTTCCTTTATGGTCCTATATATCATTTTTGCTCCAAGGACACAAAAATATTCAGTCATGTCATTTCTATAACTAGCTGGGGGCAGGGGGGAGCATTTTAAAAGGCAGTTTCTAGTAAGAAAATGAGGGCAACAGGAAGACACTAAAGAGACCTTGAAGAGGCTACAAGATGAGGGAGAGGCAGGCTCAGCCAGGGAAGTTAGCTAAAAGCCATTGGACACTTCCAGGACAGGAATAGCTCAGCCTCGGACAGGGAAAGACTCAAAAATACCCACACCTGATACCTTCAGTAAGCAAGCCTTTTTGAGTGCTTACTGGGTACCAGACATTGAGGGTGTCTAAGGATGAATGATGTTCATCTCTGGCCTTCAAAAAGCTAGTGGCAACAGAGGGGAATGGCATGAAAACAGGTAAGGACATAACAGGGTAACCATGATGACAGAAAAAGGAATAAAGTGTCAAGGAGGTGTCTTAAGGAGGTACACTGCTGCTGCTACAATTAGTACAGTCTGTGACGGCATCACAGAATAGGTGACAGCTGTTCTGGGTTTTGAAGTTTACATAAGAGTTCGCCAGGTGAAGAGAACAGGGAAAGTAAAAGGAGGAAGCCTGAGTTCTGAATGTTCCAAAGCAAAGTACTCTGGAGACAGGGTGGAGCTGTGGGGATCTTTAGCGGGGCCCTGATATGGGGAATTACAATAGCCCCAGAGTACTCAGATGTTTATGTATCTCTAAATTCTTCCAAAAACAGGCCACGCTCGGTGGCTCACGCCTGTAATCCCAGCACTTTGGGAAGCAGAGGCAGGAAGATCACTTGAGGTCAGGAGTTCGAGGCCAGCCTGGTCAACATGGTGAAACCCCATCTCTACTGAAAATACAAAAATTAGCTGGGTGTGGTGGTGTGTGCCTGTAGTCCCAGCTACCCTGGTGGCTGAGACATGAATCACTTGAACCTGGGAGATTACGCTTAGCTCACCGTAATCATGCCACGATACTCCAGCCAGGGTGACAGAGTGAGACTCTGTCTCAAAAAAAAAAATTCTTCCCACAACGCTATGATATGGGTTTTATTCTCCCCATTTTACAGATGTGGAAGCTGAGGCTCCCACATAATACAGTGAGATGAAGTGATTTGCCCAAGGTCACACAGCAGGTGAGCAGCAGAGCTGAGGTTAACATTCTTGAGTGTATGCTCTCCACCTCGAACTCAGGTTTGTGGGGAGTGTTGGGGTCAAGGAAGTATAGTTCTTATCAAATGCAGATTCGAGCCATGAACTTAAGACTAATGACTCACATCTCATCACAGATGAGGACAGAAAAACACATGGGAAAGGAATGAAGATTTTAAATTTCAAGGAGAATAGAAGAACCGGAGTTTGGGCTTGTGGGTCCCTCTGACTTGGTTTGAATCCCTGGGTAGATCCCTTATTGGTTGTGTACCCTTTGGGCAAACTGCTTTAACTCTTGGGGCCTCCGTTTCCTTATCTGTAAAATGGGCGGAGTGACTCCCCATTCAGAGGACTGCTGTGGCATGTGCCAGGAGAGAATGCACATTATGCACTAAGTATTTGTCTCATCCAGAATCTGAGGGGGATGGCGCAGTGGCTCATGCCTGTAATCCCAGCACTTTGGGAGGCAGAGGTCGGGGGATCGCTTGAGGCCAGGAGTAAGAGACCAGCCTGGGCAACAAAGCGAGATCCACTTTGCTACAAAAAAATACAAAATAAATTAGCCAGCTCTGGTGGTGCTTGCCTATAGTCACAGGGGGCTGGGACTAAGGTGGGAGGATCGCTTGAGCCCAGGAGGTCGAGGCTGCAGTGAGCTGCCACCACGCCACTGAACTCCGGCCCAGGCAACAGAGCAAGACGCTGTCTCATTAAAAAATAATCTGAGGTGGGAGTTTGAGGAGACCTGACGAGTGTGGTGATGGGAGAAAGATTGTAACAGGGCCCAATATGCAGATGCCCCCATGCTAAAAGCTGGCAGTGCATCAAAGGAGACCTTGGGCAAACTGCGTCAAACCAAAAAGCTATGCAGCCCCCAGTAGTCACTGAGCAAGCGGCCAGTGGCCTCCTCCAGGGCACACCTAGTGAGAGCTGCCCCTTCCAGCAAGGGTGGGCTCAGCCAAGGCATTGGCACTGAGGCCCTGGAGATGGATGGCAGTTAGGAACGCATTCCCTGGCCAGGTGCTCATACAGTCCTGCAGAGATGGGCA